ACAGACTAGCTTTTTATGTCATCTTTGATGAACATACCTGATCACCCACTGTCAAAATATCACCCACTGTTCAAATAGGAGAGGAAAGGTTGAAGGTCCGTAGGCCGAGAAACAAAAGATAATTCGACTGGGAAGGACAGTTCGCACAGTCGCCATGGTTGGGTACGGGTCCATTCGTCCTCGATACCCAACCTGGACAAACCATCAGAAGGGTTACTGGCGGAGTCGATCCATTCAATCCAAGGTCGAATCTGACGTTTCTGGAAAATCAAATGAGCTAACTGGACAATGGCACGAACGTCCTCTTGTCCACTGGAACCTTTAATTAATGAGGAAACAGCGGCCTCATTATCAACGAACCAGAGGAGATCACGACCGGCAAGGATGTCACCATGGACCCACGGCACGAGGAGTCCACAAAGTGTTTCGCCGGGGTAGATCTGTTGGTGACGTTCAATCCATGAATCAGTCACCTCGGATGGTACCAGGCATGAGACTCCCAAAGGAGGCGATGTCATGAGTACCCATCCAACCCGCAAGGTGCCCTTTTCAAAAGAGGCATCCGAATAAATTACCAGGGGGGATTTGGTGGCTGAGCACACCTCAATATCCCGGGGCCTGGCTTCGTGAAGCATGATGCTGAGGAGGCGTAAAGTAGTAACCTCAGCGTCTGCTAGTTCAGGAGTGGCAGCAGTTGAGGTCGCCACGAAGCTTCCCCGCATCATCGGGTCGGAGGTGTCGGGTAGCGATAGCCTCGCGGAGCTTGGCTTGGACCTTCCTCGTAGTGGAGGTCTTGGGTTGGAATCTGATGACTCCTAACCAGCCAAAGTCTCCTACGTGGACTGAAGTCCCGAGGTAATGTCTATTAGGTGCTGGCACAAAACTTTTGGAGCTCTGGGGCGGTGCTCCCAACAGCCTGAAAACCAACTGGAGGCTCCGTTGGGAGACATCGTTGTCACGAATGCACTCCACCGATAGCTCGTCATCAAAGTATGCAGCTGAGCACCCTAAGAGACATCTACGGGTGATGGCAATACCCAGTTGTGGGAAGCGATTGAAATTCACCACCGCGCTTTCGAGACCGTAAGCTAGACCCCACATACATGTAAATCTCCAGCCCAATGAGGGAACGAAAATCGCAACATTAGAGAAGGGAAGATGGGAGTCAGCGACGGGCAGGCCCCGGTAAGCGTCGGGAAGATCATCCGTACCCAGACGGATATCAAGCCACTCGGGAGGTGAGCCTACCGGAAAGGGCATTTCAGAATGCAACATACGGGCTACTGAAGCACAGAAGTCAACATTGACAGTTGAGATCGTTTCGTGCATTGTTGTATGAGCATTATGACCACTTTTCCGAGCATTGTCAATGGCTCGTTTCTTCCCATCCGGTTGGATGATGAGGAAACGTTCCACGAACCTCCACCCCCCAACACCGAAAAGATCATCCATTTCCCGTGCGGTGCGCAAAGGAGAGCAAAACTCTTTTTCAATCTCATCGTTAGTCAAGTCCAGGATGTCTTGGACATGCTCCGGAGGGCGGGTGCGAAGGAGGCGATCTAAGTCAGCCTCGGCTGCCGTTCCCAACCACTGGTCCAGGGATAGTTTTCCTTCCTGGACAATGGGTCGAAAAACCCCCGAGTGCTCCATGTCGCCCACAATGTCGAAGCCCAAAACCAGGGATCTTGCGAGCATCTTGTCCGGCCACCGTAACAAAGCGACCATGGTGGCCACAAAGGCTGGTCGTTTTCCCATCGCCACTTTCCGAGCACTCTGGCATCGAAAGGGGTTCAATGCGTCCTCCAGGGGAGTCACCGCCCGCGCCACCGTGGCCAGGACGTGGCGAAGCTTCTCTGCCCAGCGAGGGAGGGCTTGTCTCCAGGTTGCCACAGCCTGGATGACAAAGCTCATGTCCGGTTCAGGCCAGGGGCGGGGTGCAAACGGTGAGGGCAGTTCCAAGGCAGCTGCAATATGCTCTTGCTTGCCCATACCCGGCGGGAGGAGGTGATCCAGGCCTTTGGCTGCATTGCTGGCATATCTTTGGCCCGTGAGACCAGCATAGATGGCTGTGCGTTCACGGCCCCAAACCGGTGTAGGGCCCAAAGTGGACCATGACTCTTGCCTGAGGCGGCGCCACATCGGGTAAGCCTGTAGCGTAGCGAGCTCACATGCCGCCAACCTCCGGGACACCTCCGGCCAGACTGCCTCCTGACATGGGAGGAAAGGAAAGGTGGCTTGTAATTCTGCACACACTTCACCTGCCGAGAGGATACCCGGCATAGTCGCCAACCTACCCGGGCTCCATACTGTATGGCATAGGCGTTCAGCAAGGCCTAACTCCTCCACATCAAAGGGCTGCTTTGTCAGCTTGGCCTCCATGATGGATGGAAGGCAGCACAGAATCGCCATGACACTTGGAATATGGAAGCCGTTGCCCAGCAAAGAGTTTCGTAGCTTTGTTCGCTGGTCTTGTGAGCCCTGGACTGCATGGGTGGCGGCCACAGGCACACCCATCAATTGGGACCGCTCGTCTGGGGAGGGCTGTCTCCAGTTGTCACCTGACCACAACAGCGAATTCTCCTCATAAGCTGCCGGTGGGAAACGACGATTGTCCTGATGGAACCGTGCTGCCGCTGCCGGTGTCACTTGCGCCAGCCGATCCGTAGGGTGGAAGAACTCGCGAGTGAAAGGGTGCATAGCACCAGAGCCTTGCGCTTGCATCACTTGCTTGGGGTCCAGCATCGGCCGGAAGTGATCATCCCACCATACCTGAGCAGGGATAGGCTTCTTTCCGCAGTAGTGTAGGGTCGGATGTCGGCTCCCTGAGCCTTGCTGCCAGACCCAATCTGAAGGCGGCGTGCCCCTCGAGGACAATCCTGCGCTGCGGGATGCCAACCAGTACAAACGGCGGCGGTGGACCCAGCCACACCCAGCCGCGTCGCTCAGCACCGGTTGAGCGCCCAACCATGTAGAGTACTGTTCACAAACGGACTGGGGCATACTGGCGACGTTCTCCAGGAATGTGATGACTTCACAGGTGCGGGCTTCCGGAAGGGCCAAAATCTCCTCCCGAAGGCGTCGGAGTTGGCTCGGTTGTTGAGATCTCGGGTCATTAAGACCCTGCCTGCCTCGGTTCAAGCTAGAGTTGCCTTGGCACGGGGAACCACCACCCAGGATGATGCCCCGTACTTGGCGCCGTTGCAAGAACTGGCGGAGGTCCGCTCCCTTGAGTTCCTCAACTGAGTCAATATGCACCAAATTAGGCATTGCAGCCTGTGCAGCGGCACTAGCCACCGGGTCACTCTCAGCGCTGATTGCGTAGATGTGAACACCGAGGGCAAGCAATGCAATGCACAGTCCACCAATGCCCGCCCAGAGGTCCAATACCAGCCAAGTACCTCGAATAGATATACCCCAAGGGAACTGTGGCAGGTCTCCTCTGCCACGCCATGTCACCGGTTTTGCCCCGACCAAGCGGGTAGCTAAAGCCGAAGGGGTGAGCTCCATAGGCTCGCGCAAGGTGATCTGCCGCACAGCCCCCTGAGGTGGCGCCGTGGTATCCCTCTGCTGCGCTGGATGCTCAACCCCCCGCAGCTCACAGGCTGCCAGGGGGAGATGTCCCTATTCGCTCGGATGCTCGAGCCTGGTGTGGGGTCCCTGGCACGGCTTACCTGTCGGCAGCTTGACATCACACTTGTGAACCTGCGGGCACTTCGTGTTTGCACAACCGCGTCCATCATTCCAAGGCTTGCACAACTTCAGGCCCCCTTTCAACATAGAGATGGTCTGGTACGAATCCTGCTTGATCTGGCGCCGTTTGGGTGCAGGAGGCACAGCCTCACTGGCACCCGGGGCTGCTCGTTTGGGTGCGCCTGCAGGCTCATTGGGGACGGCCTGAATGGCACTGGCGCGCCATTCAAGGTGAGTCTCACGCAAGGCCTCTTGAAGTGCTTCCCAACCATTGTAACCTTGCCGAATGTAACTTGCCATCTTGGTACGTGTCAGCAGGTCGTTGCGCTCCAACCACAACCTGGAGCCCTGGCCGAATTCCATGGCACTGGAGAGCGCGTGGTCAGCGTAGTTCAGGGCAGCGGTAAGGGAGATAAATACTGTCTCCTTACCATCATGTCCCCGCTGCTGGTGCAACCCTGCCCACGCCCATGCATAGGCCAAAGTACGGAGCGACCAGTAGTAGTCGACTACAGTGCGAACAGAGCGGGCCTCCTCCGTGTGGAATTCAAGCTGGATGCCTTCTCCTAGTTTCACCGCATCTTGTTGCCGTGGTGTAGCCTGGTGAAGGACTGACTTGATGCGAGAGGCTGGTACCACCGACATAGTCCTCTTTCTGAATTCTCTGTAAACCCGGGCTCTCAGAGCGTCACTGGGTTCCAGCGTAGCCTCCACGATGAGAGCATACTTGGATCTGAAGTCGCGGTTGAGCTGCTCCATGGTGGATTCCGGGAGTGGGTCATCCACCCCCTCAGATGACTTAGCAGCCTGGGCCGCTTGCTTGATGGCCTCCGCCCCTGCTGAATAGGCCGCACGCAGGCGAGCCTGTGTCAGCCGGTTGTCCTTGAAGGGTGTAGGCGCCAACAATGAATGGATGGCCGCCGTGACGTCCTTTTCGTCCACAGAGAAAATGAAGTCCTCCAAGGTCTCCCATTTATGTGCACGGATCACGGCGTCAGCCCACTCTGGGAGGACGTTGGAGCCACTGAGACAAGCAGCTAAGCCACGGTCATCTTGGAGAGTATCAATCTGGTGTCCACGGCTCATGGCAGGGCTCCGAGGGTCTAGCAGGTGCTGGGAAACCCAGAGCACACTGGGCCACTCAGGGGCGCTGCACTCTGAGATCGAGCGATTGAAAAACTGGGCTGTTGCAGAAGTTGGGCCATGGTTGCGGTGTCGAAGACACATCACAAACGCACGTAACCCGAGGACCCTTTCTCTCACCCTTGCCCTCCTACGCGGGGGTGGTGGATTAAGGGGGGTTGCCCAAACGCGAAAAGGAAAAACCTTCGATCGACGGCGGCCGGCGGGTCCCCGTGGTCCCGGAGCACAGGCGATGAGCTACCCATCAACTCGTCACTGACCCCAAAACCCGACCCCACCCCACACACACGTCGACGAGGTTGTGTGATCGAACGATGGGCTCCAGCCGGGCGGACCGAGGCAGCTTTTTCATACCACACGCGGGGATGTGCTAGTTCAGCCACCCGCAATGCCGCGCCAGCGCCCGGTACAATCCCCTGGGCATGCGAGCCAAGCATCGTTGGCAGAAACGCTGGCGCGATACTAAGGAGAAGCCCTCTCCTGTCGATCGCGGATCTTGGGAGAACGGGGCGTCGCGGCACCACGGCAGCAGACGTCCATCCGATTCCCCTCGGATGATGTGAACCTTGGCCCCTTGCACCATCCAATGCGTGGACACGGCCACGTCATCGTCAGAGAGGGCGCCCTCCAAATCGCTGGCTTCATTGGACACATCGGAGGCTGATTCTGAGGAGTTCGAGGAGGTATCCGTGACGGATTCGTTGTCAGCTGCTTCCGGTTCCGGTTCTGGCCCATTGTCCACCGGCAATGTGGGGTCCTGGACATCCGCTGAGCCCCTGGCAGTGGCATCATCTGTAGGCATGTCCTGCTCGATCTCGACCGGTGGTGGTGCCGGGAGCTCAGTCCCAAGGTCACCAAGGCGCTCATTCTGGGCAGCGAATTCTGCCCAGGTCCAACTGTCCCGGGGGTGCAGTCCCTCATCCGTCAGCGCCAATTCCGCCTTCTTGGCATGGTAAAGGCTCATGAAGCGCTTCAGCAGTGCCTTCTTCACCTGGGCCGAATGAAGAGCTCGTTGGCCGCTATAATGAATCCCCATAGTCCAGGTGGCCCGTGACTTCTGGTTGGGGATGGGTCCCCCGCCAGTGGGGATCTCAACCCAATTGCCAATGGCCTGTTGGTCCGCCGGGGTCAACCGGACCACATTCCCAAGAGTGGGGAGGAACCGTCTCAAACGGTTGAATCCCGCAGTCTGGGCTTGGTCAGGAGCCGTGCCCAGGTCAAGGAGGGTGCCCCGCAGAAGCTCCAAAAAGCGTCCTCTGGACAGCTTGCGGTCCAAAGCCCAAGGGGTGTGTTCCGTGACCTGCCACAGGTCCATCGGGTCCAGCTGCAATGCCGGCCACAAGAACTTGCACCCTGGCAGAAGCTCCATGGTGACAAAGTCCTGGATGACCTTGACCAAGCTGAACCCTGGCCATGGAATGTCAGGCATAGCCCATTGGAAGGCAGGCCGGGCCCCCTGGCGCCGCGCCTTACCCTGCGAGCATGTGAAGAACAGGGCATTGGCCGCCAGGTGGTCAAACTTAGACCGTTGAACATGCTCGAATCTGATGCAGGATACAGCCGCCCACAACATAAAGGCCAGCACCAAGGTGTTGGTGCCAGAACTTTGGCGAAGCTTCAGGATCATGTTGATGAACTCCCACGGTTGCAGTTCGAGCTTCTGTTGCGAGGTATGTCCCACAGGAAGCAGCTTGTAACCGCGCACCATCCAGTGGTCCAGCGGGAATTGAACCCCGAACTGTGACCGGAACCAGTTGAGGGCGTGGAACATAGCGGATGCTGCTGTGGGGCCCCCGCGTGCCACCTCCTTGAGGAAGGCGCTCAACTGCAGAGGAGTAGGTTGCCGTACATCGAACCCCAACCTGAGGGCAAACTCCCGCCACCTTCGCAAGGTGCTCGCCAGAGCTCCCAAGCGATGGACTGAAAGCCTGTCGGCGGCCGGCATAACAGACTCCTTGAGGAGTTGCATCCTGGTGGCGTCTTGCAGCTGGGTTCGGGAGACCCCCAATTCCTCCAGGTCGAGGAAGTCCTGGATCAAGAGCTCGAACAAGGTCTGGGTTTTGGCCATCTTGGCTGCTTGTTCTTTCACATAGGGATCTCGGGCTGCAAGGCTCATGAGGAGCGGAGGTTCCCTGACCTCTCCTGTCTCCAAAAGGCGGCGCACCGGCCGAGCGGCCTGCTGTGAAGGTCCCTCTGGCTTGGCTGGGGCCGAGGTGGAGACTGCCGACTGGCGGTGGATGCAGATCTCCCTCAAGTGCTTGCGCTGTGAGGCTTGAGCCCTCTGAGACGCCAAAGTCCAGAAGGAGACGATGGTGAAGCCTTCCTCCGCGGACACCGAGCCATGGCGCCCTTCCAACTCCTCGAGGAGCGCACCGCCTGTGGGCCACAGGCTATGAACATCCTCACAGGTCTGGACTCCCAGGTCCACGAGGTGATTGAGGAGGTTGATCGGCCGGTCGACCAGCAGCTCCTGTAGCACACCCTCCATGGGTTGGTCCGGCTTCAGCGCCCCGGAGCTGCTCGATGAGGTAGGCGCGCACGCCGTCTGCGGACATGTTGAGGGCGGTTCCCAAGGCGTCGAGGCGGATGACCTGGTCGACCTCATGGAAGTGCGGGGCCGACTCTTGGGTTCCAAACCCTTCGATCTGGACCGCCGCCTCTTGCGCTCCGCCATGGTCCGCCACGCAGGGAGGCCAGTCGCTCCTCACGGGGTAGCACACTGGCCTCCCTGCCCCTTGCCCCGCCTCCACCGCCGTGCCACCACCCTCCACGTAGCCCGCTCAGTGGAGAGGATGGCGGGCATGGCAAGAAAAAGGAGGGGAGCCCCCAATCTTGAGCCAAAATGGCATCCAAGATTGAGGATCCCCGCTATATGTTTCACATCTCAATATGTCCCTACCCAACCAACCATTCATATTGATTGATAAAGATCAGATCATGTATAAATATAGTATTGATCGATTTTTTTGCCTGTACATCTTGCAGTAGACCCCGACCGCGACTGCTTCTTCCGTTCATTCACAACGCCCAAAGCCTGGCTCGCGACGCCGTGGCTCAAAGCAAACAGCAATGGACCCATAATGACACAGACTACGATACAAAATGAGGTCTCTGGTTGGTGGATTCAACTCAATTGAACCAAATAAGAGTCAGTGGGTTCAATCATCCCAAGTAGAATAACAACAACATAGTTTTGCACATAAAACCAGCAGCCAGGTCTCTGTTTTTCTCCCCCACCTCTCACCCCTTGCAGACGAGAAACCTCCTGCCACACCCACTCAGCCCACCCTACCCCGTCAGGCGCCACGTTCGGATTCCTCGCAGTCCACGCGGAGGCGTGTGCGGTGGCGGGGTTCCCCAGGTAGGTCCGAGCAGATTGAAGCTGGGACCGGGGCGGCAGGTAGCTCAGCGCTGCCACTGAAGCGCCCTCCTTGGTGCTCGACCGAAGATCGAGGTGTTTTTCCGTTAACTGTCATTCAAATCATATATATATATACACACTATATATTCAAGTTCTGCACATGTATATATATATATATATTCAATATTAAACTATATATATATATTGACTACTATGCAACCGTACACACATATATAGTATAATATAGTAACTATAATTATCATACATATTGTCATAAAGTTAGATATGGTTGACAAATGTTGACAACATAGATGCTTGCTGATACTTGCAAATGGTGTCAGCCGGAATGTTCATCTGCCCTATCAAAGCTGCCCCTGGGCACCAGGGTGATTAAATGAACATGTCATCAAAGATTTACAACTGTTTGAGAAACATTGCATTCCACCCACCAACAACCCTTGAAGAATTGACAAGGCCTTGACGGATATTGCCAAATCTAAATCAAACCGGGGCCACCAGTCAAATCTAAGTCAAACCTGATATTGCAAATCCAACACCAGTTAGATTCGCTAGATAAGCCACCAGAAGTTAGTGAAACACCCTGAACTGCCCAACCAAACCTTCAAAATAACTTCCCCTAGGTTTTGCCGGTTTTGCATGTACTTCACATCTCAAAATCCAAGGCACATCCATGCAACATCCAAAATCGAGATAGCTCCCAGCGCCCAAATAGCACTTTTGGCGAATGCGCACTGAGTGCAACTGCTCTTCACCTGACCACCATGACATCGTGAATACGGTATTACCCCGGAAGACACGTAGCCTTTACAGTAGCCTTTTGGGCTCGGAACTACGTTACAGTAGGATCTTTTTGTTTGAAGAAAATTCGAAGGAATTGAAGGAATTTCCCCCCTTGAGCTCCTGGTCCCTATAACCTGTGGGTATCTCTTCTCAGCCACACGGTGGAAAAAAATCGTGGACAGCGATCTGCTTCTCCCTCTCTTCCCTCTCTCGCACCGCCGCCTTCGAGAGCAAAATCTGCCAGGCCTCGTTGAGATTTTCGCTCAGGGAGGTGTCAATTCGTCGTGTTTGCCCGCTTCGAATCGAGGAATGAAGCAAAATGGATCGCAAAAGAGAATAGGTTCATACTCAGACACTCCGTGTATGGAATATGTTCCTACATTGACCCCTTTTCAACCACCCGAATGTAAACATTCCATACATGGATTGTTAAGTTCATGCACCCTTACTTAGTATATCCTCTGGTGGCTGGACTCACGAATGAGCACTTTTTCACACATCGGGTGTGACAGTCTCCCTCTCCAAAATCCAGCATGAAAGATGTCAGTCTTGGGTGCTCAGAAAGGTGCCTTGTTCAGTCTGAAACAATCAAACTGCAGAAACACGCAGAACCAGATTGCGACGGTTCTCCAGTTCTCCATCACCATCACCAAGTTTGTCTATAGTGTCGAAGATCCTCTAAGCTGTATACTTATAGTTTGCCCACTTAGTGGATGCTTCCCAACACATGTTGAGCTTGTGTTCTTACGGGCATGTTCGAAGAAACCGGAGCGTAGCTTAAATGGTGATCTTGAAAACCTTCCAAAAGGGCCTTGGTAAGGGTAGGATAATCATCCCCCGGATAAGGATCACCATGACATGCCACGACTCATGACACATTTAGAGAATATTAGTAAACACATGGAGCTTCTCCACAGCCACAAAATGCTCCCTCTTTGAAAACAAACATCTCAGCAGCTAAACAAAAGCCTGTGATTCTTTACGAGTACTATGAAGCTTGGCTTTCCACTGGTTTGCGGAGGTTCCGCTCGCCTGTTTCGCTGGACTTCCTTGCAGGTTCATGGATCTTCAGGTTCCTTGCAGGTCTCCAGTGACCTCAACGGACGTGACCTCCAGTCCCTTCTTCCTCCTCCAGCCCCGGTCTCCGGGGCCTCCCAGGAAGCTCTGGGACTCCACGGTGACCAGCTCACCGCCTTTCAGCGCCGTCAACCAGCTGGGCATCGTCAGGAAGGCGTCCGAGCTCACGTTCGCACCCAGCAGGAGGAGCGCCAAACGTAGGAGGCACTCCGGAACCTGAAAATGCAGAAAGTCGTTGGGGAGCAAGAAGATTCAAAAGTGACGAAGAAAAGCTCTGACTAGCTTGTAGCTCGAATAGTTGTTAGAGCAAGGGTAGTGAATAATCAACAATCTTTCGGTGATCATCTGTTGTGTATATAATTACTATAGGTGTCTCCACCAGACCCCTCCAAACATCATCCCAACCATCCCATCTTTCTTTTCAACACAATCTTCTGAATCAGTCACGGAGGAGATGAAGAGCTGCGCGCTGGGCAAGATCCAGGTCACCAGCCTCCAGCAGCTCGGCCTGCGCCCTGGCTCCAGCCTCCATCCACAGGCCAAGGAGACACCCGCCGGCTTGACAAGCAGGTGTTAGGGTGAAGAGAACGACTGCCCTATTACCCCCCATTTGGATTGAGAAACATCTTCACATGGGGGCAGGGGTTATCATAGTCAAGAGTCTACATGAGAGCCAGCGCCACGTACTGTAGGGTCTTGGGGGTCGGTTGACGTAGTTGCAGCGTTAAGAGTGCCGAGCTGAAAGATGTCATCTTTGACATTGACAAGACCGGCACCCCCAATATTCCAATGTTTTTCTCTATTCAGCCATTTGGCAGCATGATTTCGACTCCAGAGTGTCGCTGAACAACACAAAAGCAACCTTGTCCGCCTTGTCCTTTCATTTTGCTCACTTCGTTGGCCATGGGAATCTCGTTCAGTGTACACCGCCTTTGGAACTACATGGCGAAAAAAACATGGACAGTTCTCTTGCAAACCCACAACATCCGCAGCTTGTGACACACATATATATATATAATATATATATATATATGTGATGTGCAATTATGTGCCAAACACCCTTTGGACATAAGACATAACCAGCATCTCAGCTGGTGCCAAGCTTTCATCTCGCCCTGAACAGAATGGCCTGCCAACCAGGACCCACTTCAGCAGGATGAAGACCATCAAAGCCGCTGTACCCGCCAAGATCAGCGCCAGCGTCGCTCCCAGCATCAAAGCCACAAAACCATGAGTCACAAACCTCGAAGTACGCGGGTGATGTTCGGCTTCGCATGCTGCTAATTGAGACGGTGATTCAATGCTGGCACATCCAAAGTTTGAAGTTTGTTGCAGGAGATGGGAGAGAGTTGGTTACAGGTTGTTGCAGGCACCCAAACGAATCTAAGATTTCAGATCAGGGTTGCACGCAGAACGCGCAAAAACGGACTGTAAAAAAATATTGGCTGTGTCCTTCAATGCGTTACTATAGTGTCTTGTTTAGCCCAGCGCGCTGCGAACGCGCTCGCGCATTTTCCAATGCCATCAAACTATGAGTGCTTTGCAAATACGGACTGCAAAAATACTGGCTGTGTCCTTCAATAAATATAGTCTTGTTGAGCGCAGCGCGCTGCGAACGCGCTGCAGGCGCGCTGCGGACGCGCTGGCCATCACCTAGATTTAGTTTCTCGAAAAGCAGCCCGTGAGGAGGTATGGCGCTAGCAGTGAAATAGTTGGCTATACAATTAATGGGCATCACGGCATCAACGAAACTTTTCTACCTTTGTGGAGGATATGTCTGGCCGTAGGTTGTGTTACATGTATACAAAAGCGCGTTTTTCTACCTTTGTGCCCTTTACATGCCTATGTCATTGTGTGCAACCCTGCAGATGGAACAAGTTCTAGGTCTGACTCCAGACTCCATCGGCTGAAGGATTGTCTGGTCTGAGAATCTATGGTCTAAACACCATGTGTGTTGGACATAGCCTGCATCCAAAATGCATCTTTCTCAACACTTTGGATTAGGTAGCTGCTTGACATGTGACCGTCCGAAGAAAAGCAAGATGTAGAATTGCTCCATCTCTGTCGGTTCTGTCACATGTCTCCTTTTAATTTCAAGTTATCTACTTCGGCCCAAGACCGTTGGATGAAGATGTGCGTCTGGACAGTCGATCTCTCTCTCAGTGGGTCCCGAAATTGGGTGTAAAAGCATTTGGCTCAAGTCACTCCTGGAAGCCATAGAAAATCATGTAGATGAACCCTACGAAAATGTATGGATGGATCACGAGGGCATAGATCAACTTGGCCCAATCCAAACCCTCACCGTTTGCTGCATTCTCCACGTTCTTGCCGGAGTCGGCTATGTTCTCGCCCTCGGTGCCTCGGTCAAGAACTTCATCGCCTAAGAGGCGACCTGTCAATCCGTGACCTAGTTCACCGCATATCGTGGTCCCCAAATAGATAGCAACAATGTCGTTTGTGGCACTGTTTCTCGTCTTTCAGCCGCACTTCTCTTTTTGGTTCTTTCCGGCTCGGTGCGACTGAGGCCGGCCGTGTGGAACGTGATGGAATGGACCGGGGCAGGCGTTTCTGCCGGCCCGCTGCCAACCCACCGGGACTCAAATAAGCCCTACACCAGGGATTTTTCAGCTGCTTGGCTTGTAAGTGATCTGCTATGCTGAACGTCATCTGGTGGGTGAATACATGGTAGTCTGAAGGGTCTGAAATGATATCAGAACCTGTTTTCAGGTCACTAGAGTCTGAGTGGCTAGACCTACCCCACAACTGCAGGCATGTCACACATTCCTCAGCTAGCAATACCAAAGTAACTCAAGAAAATAGGTTCCACACAAGTATACAAAAGTAACATGTGATGTTTTAAGTCGTGTCAATTGTTGGGGTCTACACTTTTGATTCCGGAACTATACCCCTGAAAATTCTTGAGTTGCACATCTTAGTCTTCATCTCTCCCTCTGCCTCGGCACCTCCTAGCAGCACCACAGAGCGCGCCCGCAGCAAGGTGCCCGGCGTCAGAGTGCTGCCCGGCTCCAGGACACAGCGGGGGCCGATGGAAGAGTGAGCGGGTAAATGGATTGGCGACAGGATCAATTCACCATCCAAAAGGCAATGACACCTGAGAGTTTGAGCTGAAAGTGATACATTGAATGTTTGTGCTGATTGTGAGTGCTCAAAGTTGGTGTCGGTCCACTCCGACTAAACAGTAAGATGTTGATTTCAAAGCATTTGAGGGTAGACAACCATAAGTCAGACCTTGTAGATGCATGAACACGCATGAACACCTAACAAGTGGGGCGTAAATATCAGCAAGCCCAATTACAACATTGAGCATAACATAATTGGCACTCTGGCACTCCGGATCAACAGCGAATGGCTCGACACTCGACACCCGGCGTGAATGGTTGAAAGTAGTAAGTACTGTGCAGCGACACAAACCAAGTTTGAAATCACAAACTCTTTCACAAGTGGACAATAACATAATCTTGCGCAACTATTGTTGCAGGATGTTATAGGTCAGCAGTTGTTACAAGCTACAAACTAAGCTTGTGGATCAAGATCGCTGTAGAAGCTGCTATCCACTGAGTTGAGTCGGGGCACTTGACGCTGGATTCATCCACTGAACAGCCAGCACCAGCGCTCAGCAACTGACAGGAAGCCCGTGCGAAGATGTTGAGCTTGGCTCCATAGCCAATCTCCGCGCCAAGCGCTCGAAGCAGGGCGTTGTGCACTGGAGTTCCTGCGTCGAAACAATCTCTAGCTATGTTGGCAGTGATTGCTTAAACTCATCAAAGATCCCGCTTGGAGAGCATGTACGAGGCAAACAGAGTGAATTCACTCTTCAGTCTCAAACTGTTTGGGTAGATGTGCCATGTGCTTTCTCCAAAAGTCTGTCAGAAATGGTGTCACCCACCATCATCAGAATGGTTGCTTCGACGACGGAGTGGTGGACAGAAGTGAACATCTTTGACCTTTCGGTTGAAATGGAATGTATCCAGACCTTTAAAAAAAATGGAATGTATCCAGACCTTTAAAAAAAAAAGGAGTCTTTCAGTGACTCTAGAAAGACTTTCCTTACTATTAAACACTCTTACCTTCTTAAATAATAGGAAGAGCGACTCCATTTGTACAAGGACTCTAGAAAAACATTGCCTTAATTGTACCAAAGGGTCGTATTTGTCCTTATTTGAGGCCCAACTTTGTACACGCTCCCTGAAATCATCATGGCTTCGCGGAGTAAAAAACATGTAAAGACCCACTTGTTTGGTCTTCAAACATTCCATTGTAATCCGACAATCACCATTGCCGACATCTTCATGCCATCTTCCACGTAATCATGATGATTTCACGGTCCGTGCCATTTTCAAATGGATCCCAAACACTCCGTTTTTATGGCATATAATATAATGGCTACATTCACCCTTGAAACCACCTCAATGCAAGCAAAAAATTGGCAGTCTCATGGAGTGCCTGGGGATGATTTGTCATTTCATGGTCTCCCAGTCGCAACTCCGGTCCTCGATAAATCGCGCCAAAGCGATGCAGAAAGGTCAAAGAGACATCCTCGCGCCCACTGGTCCCAGTGATTCAAAACTGCGCTGACACCCCTCCTACTTTGGAAGTCAAAGCCACCAAAGACACACAGAGACTAAAGCATGGGGGACTCAAGTTCTCTCAGAGCCACCCCGTGAAGTTTCTCAAAGTCTCAAAAGGCTCAAGCTACAAAGCAATCTATTGTGACCTGAAGGGCATCAAACTAGAAAGCAAAGAAAGGCTTTCTCAAGGACCATGCATCCAACTGCCACAGGCGCAAGTGCATCCAACCGTCCACCTCGCATGTCAAAGTGTACACACCCCAATTTAGTGGCTTCAGAGTAAATGGCACAAACCCTTAAATGAAATGTCTTTTTGATGGGGGCCTCTATAAACGACCTTTTGGGGATTATGCCATCTACTCTGAAACCACTGTATACTGATCAAATGCTCCCTGTGTTCATTGACATCCGACCGTTTTGGTCGCATCACGGGGACGGTCGAGCGCTGAAGCGCTCCCGTTGGATTGCTTTCGAGTACGTTATGTGTTGAAGCCTAGCTACGGAGGAGGAAATATGACTACTTTCTACCTCTGTTGTGGTTCATCTTTCTGGTGGTTCAACACTCTTGTCGCTTCAACGGCTTCGTCAAATATCGCAGTGAATTCCCAAGGGCGCAACAATTGCAGGGCGCCTTGTAGCGCCCCGGTGCAGGTGTTTTAGGAAAGAGCGCCAAGCGAAGGAGAAACACCTCAGGTTGACAGAGTGCCCCGCTACCTGGAGGCCAGTTTGAGGGTGACTGGGCGCCGTTCCAGGCAAATAAAATACTGATGTTGAAGCTTCACAACCAAGTGAATTCAACGCATAGAGACATCCTTGTGGGATTGCTATAGCCACTGCTCCATGGATATCAAACATTTGGTAGAGGAAAACTGGTTACCGTCGTCGATTGTTATTTTTGGGACAACAGTCGTTGGCACTGATGTGGGTCGCCAATTTGCTATATTGTATCTAATATGAAGCTAGGAAAACGCCGCATTCATCCTAGTTGCTCAGTCCCTCTCTCTAGAAAGAAACCAGTTGTTGACAGCATTGGACTGGGGAAGACTGTGGTAGAGGGTAGAACATCTACCATCACATTTGCAACTTTGATATGCCTGTTAGAGCACTGGAGAAGCTGATTATTCTCCCTGAGCCTGAGGCCGTAGTAACTTTGGCTTAAGAAGACTGACCTATTTTTGTTGAAGGAGACATGTCTTTTACATCACCATACATCACCTCAAATACATCATATTACACCATTTGCCATGTTTTGAAGGTTCTTTGGTGGTTGGAGATTTCTCTGAAAAGTGAATTTGGTGCTTCAAGCCCGCCAGGGACCAACTAATCAGCTCCAAGCAGCTTGCACCAATAGCAGTGCCCAAACACCCGCCAACAGCAGTGGGGCCAAAACCATGATGAGCCCATGACCATAAAGGAGATGCAAGCGATCCAAAGCAGTTGACAGGAGGAACATGGGCATCAAAAGGATCAGCAAAGGCGCTAGAAGGCCCAAGGTCTTCCAAGTCCAAAGAATCACCAGAGGCACCTGTTTGAGGCGGAACGAAGGCTTTGTTGAATGAAGCAACGTGTAATGACAGTGGACATGACAATGAGACGTTAAATGCATTCCATGATGTTCCTGTCCTACCTGCCTTTTCCAGAAGTTTGAACCTCCAATCACAAAAGGTTTCAGTTTACTTTCCTTTTCGGCAAGAAACATATGATGTCGAATCTTAGGCCACGTTGTCACTCCCGGCCCACCCCAGCAAATGAGATGTTCACCCCATGTTGGTTCTATCTATCTTTCAGCAGTCTTGGATATCAATAACAATAGCAGAAAGTCCCTCCTGGTTCTACTGAGGATGACATGAACACAGCTGTAAAGAAGCAACGACTAAGCTTGTGCTACAATAACGTAATTAGTAACAGAATACAATTCGCAGCACAACTCACATTCCGCAAGTTCCACAGTTGCCAACCTTGCCAGCCATCGGCGGCAACAAATACAAAACAAGCTAGCTCTGTCAAACTCCACCTCAAGGAAGGAACCACTCAAAGGTTCAGTACATCCAACATGGTTCAGTACATCCAACACACCAACTGCCCCCACACATAACAACGCCCCGGGTCGTTCTGCTGCACCACCGCCGGGCCTTGTGCTTCCCCTGCACCGTCATGGTGCTCACCATCTCCCGCCGTGTCCGCCGTCGCGGTGCCGGACACGCGGGACCCTCCGGGAACTTCGCGCGCTCGGCCGCGCGCGCCAGCGCGGCGCGGTCGGCGAAGACGGCGCTCAGGGGGAGGTGCGAGGAAGTCACCGAGGCATGGAAGACGGTGTCCTGGAATCCGCAGGGGACTGGTATGGATGAAAGGGTGCAGGACATGTTGCAGGGCTAGTGAGATGTTGGTGAATCACACATGTGAATCAATGTTGTGGGCAATTCGAGTGTTTAAGGCCTGTTGTACTCCACTTGTTTAACGTATACCAACTGACACGATAAGGTTAAATTGCTGACTAGTTTCTTTGGCCACCTGCAACAATACTGATCAGCACAATCATTACTTGCACACCCTGAAATAATTGTGGGAGTGGACAAGAGGCTTCTGAGCATTGTTCTTCTCTGCAAACAGGTGGTTTTCCGCTTCCATGTTGAATGTTGATGACATGGAGAGTATGATTTTAATGGTACAAACATGAATCCGTCAGGCAGTCACATCTTAGGGGTCCCAAGTCCTTGCCCGGACATGGTGCACTCAGAGCAACGAGCAGCCTGGCGGGACAAAGCTTGCTTGACCCATGTTGGTTGATGGAAGACGTCTATACCGTACCAATGAAAGAACTTGCAATGGGCATAGACAAAACAACACATTATATATATATATATAAAGAAAAGTAATCCTTAGAGTTGCAGCTTTACTGTGGAGTGTCTGTTGTTGTTTTTCTTCAACACAGGAGTCGTTTGCCCGAAATCTGCAGGGTCTTGGACATGTTTCTTTGCGAGTTGAGCTTCGGAACAAATTAAAAACTGATCACTGATTCTACAGGTCTGGAAAGCATGTTCATGCCTGCTCTTAATCTTTGTCAGGCGCTTGGTTGTGGGTAGAATTAGAAACTCCCAACTTCGAGGAAAAAAACACACGTCCAAACATGAACAAGCATTGCCAAGCTATAAGAAATAAGTTACATAGTGTTTCCTGAACTTCTTCCTTGTATTATCGCATACACCACGTCAGTATGAAATCCTCATCAAAATCCTTTTGGAGACCAACTTGGAGCGTAACTGGAACACTATGTCATGCCCCAATCTCCAAAAGCCAACCCGGAGGTCAACCATCTCTGGTCATGTGCAGCTCTGCTCACTGCCGCAGTCCGCACCTTGCATGGAGCCTGGCCGCCCCAGCCGAGCTGGTCACCACACTGTCACTGGGTGCGTCTGCAGGCATCTCTTGCACAATCCACTCTTCGATGCGCCTGGCGAAGCCAACATCTCTTCGATGCGCCAGAAGGAGCGAGGAGCGTCAGCGAAATGGTTTGGAGATCTGAAACATGGTCATTGGAAGGGCGTACGCGGATGTTTGAAGGGCGTACGCAATCTAAACCATTTACATGGTTTGGGGTCCTGAAAACAAGGTCATGTGATGTCATGTGCATCATTGTGGATCAGCCTTTGCAGATCTTTTCAGGTAAATAAATACTCCACTCCGGTCTGATGTTTGTTAAATGTTTCTCGCAGACCGCAAGTGGAGACACTATGAGAAACTGGGCAACTGGCTAGACGAGAAGCAAACCGTTTGAAGGTCCTAGGAACTTTGGTTCCATATCCTCAACTGGCAATGGGTCAAAAACACAAATGCTTGCCAACTAAAATGAACAGCATAGACGACCAGGATCTACCAGGTTTTGCGACATTTTTGTTGGATATTTTTGGAATGTTTTGACGTTGGAAGTGCGCAGTCACCGCCCTCTTGCCGCTCACTTTGGCCCAACCCCGCTCCACGGGCCTGGCGCGCGCCGCGCGGTCGCTGGTGCCCGTCCAGTCGATGGGGTGCACGTCGCGGTCGGCGTCGGCGCCCCAGAAGTGCTTCTCGACGAGTGCCGAGCCAAAAGAGGTCTGGAAGAGTTCAGCAACCTGGATCGAGGAGGTGCTTCTCGAACGGGCTGGACGAAACATCGAGAAAATGACATTGGGAGATGAAATCGGATGAACAAAAACGAGGATGCACCTTGAATGATACATTCACACACCCCAAAGAGTCTGATTTTGGAAGACCTCCTGGTTGATGAGAATTCCAAGTAGGAAAGGTAGATGATATGAAGTTATATCTTCACAATGTCATCCAGTCCTTCCATGGCTGGTTTAAAGTAAAGGTAATGTCCTTCCCTTTGTGATGAGGCAGGCGCATTCGGATTGCCGAAGCCCATGTTTTCGCTGAGTCCGAAACGACTGATGTCTGAGCGAAAGGATGGTCCACTGATGTTTCCACAGGACCTGAATAGGCGTCGATATCATCGACATCCAACTGCCACTCTCGAAAGCTTCAATGGAGATGGTTTCACTGGAGGGTTTTTCTGGGTCCCTATACCTTCTCAGGAGGCAGTGGAGCCCTCCATCGGATTGTTTTTGTGTGTTCAGGGCCCTCGGGTCGTTTCTTGCTGAACCAAAACCTCCCACATGTGGCCTCTATACAGGATAAAGTAGTCAAAGCAAGAAAATATAAAACGTTTGGTGATTTCCACCGGGTAGTCATGGGATGTCATGGGTATAGAATAGTCCCCTTATTTCGAGACTTCCCCCTAGTAATCTGACATGAAGAGGCTACCCACGGGGAATTGGCTTGGGCAAAACTGTCTTGAACAACCTCTTGAAATCTCTTGAACCTGTGTTGCTGGAACCACCTATCACACCCCAAACACTGCAAGCATAGCTAGTATAATGTATCCGAGGGTGCGGTAGGATTTCTTCCTTCAACCACACCACCCATCGAAACCAACGACCATCCCTCCATTCCCTCCTTCTGATGCCGCAGCTTTCCACTGGTCGTCTTGGGCAAGCTCCTCCGACCAAATTGAGAAAACGCTGTGAGGCAAACATGATTATCCTATAGTCAACATGACCCGCTAGAACCCTCCATAATTGTATAATATGGTCATGGTCAATTCAGGATGCAAAAGTGGAACGAGCCCTTAAACACCACTGTCAATGTGTAGTGGTGGTAACTATTCTGATAATCCCTGCGACGATCGACACTGACTCGGAAATAGTGGATAGACACCGTGGTCAATGAAGGTTGTTTTTGCTCCTGAGTTTAAACTTTCTTCTCATTCGGGCTGCTGTTAATTGTTGCTAGCTGAGGCTGCTGGAACCTAAGTTTTGTGATAGTTTTGTGCATTTTACCATCTTGTTGTTCTAACGGAGCGGAAAAAAGGAAACTCAATCAATTAATTAGAAGAGCACACTTTCATAGCACATAAAACAAAACCAGGTGATGGATCATGCTGGATCAGTTGTTCCCCTGTCCATGCGGTCCCAATATGTTGACTGGTCATGAGTCATGGTACACAAAATGATTGAATTCAACAAAAGGAGCCCGTTGCCAGGACTTCCAAAGTATATCGGATATGCTTTGGTTCGACCCATCGCCCATCGTGGACACGCAGTCGGGAACCCCCAGTGGACCATCCGACACGCAGGGAAGTAGACCCCCCATGGAACTGACGGTCTCCAATTTGGTGTCTTCGCACATGAATTTACCCACTCAACTTTCACCTGGACAGAGTTTCCAGTGGCTTCTTTCATTTCCAAGAAAGCCTCTTTTGGACACGTCCTGGGCTTCAGCAAGACGAGCCCCCAAAGCAGAAGGCCATGTTCCGCTTCGATTCGGGCACGCAGAGTGGTCGCCAAGTTCTCCGGATAGACCTTCAAACAGATCCCAAACAATCTCTGGGACTGGAATAGTTGCACAAGTTTGACTAGTGTCCTTGTTCCAAGTAGCGATGCCCTTTGCTCCTAGTAGCGTCCTTGTTCCTGGTGGTTCTTTATAAGGCCTTAAGGGTCGGGAATTCTTCCAGTATGGAGTCCTTGGGGAATGATGTGAGTGGCCAGGACTCAAGAAGACCAAAAAGAGCCATCGCCAAGTGCCAAAAAGCAGACCATTCTCTGAAAATGTTGATCAAGCAGGGTTTTGGAGGGGTTTGACCTTGTTTCAAACTGTCAGGTGATAGGCAGATATGTCATAATACTATATAATACTGCTCTATAGGTGGTGTGTATTGAAACAAATCTACCCCCTCTTTGAGAGGGACGAACGGGATCAAATGATTGGACCGGGGGGGCGTCCAAGGGATTCACAGCAACTCAGCCATGTCAGCACGACGGCGACTAAGTCCCTGTGCTTCATGAGCATGGCTTCCGCAAAGATTGGCCGGCAGCAGAAGGAAAATGAGATTGCAAACATGTACCAGGACCCTCCAACAGGTCACCAATTGAGACCTTTTAGGGTCCAACAACCCTCAATTAACAGCCTGGCCAGGAGGGTGCTGGTACGTCTATTTAGTTATTTTTCTGTCGCACCTGATTGGCCTCTCAGGCCTATCCAACCTTCATTGGCCTTGTGGAGCCCAACACATGGATACCCTGATCAAACAAAAACCTCGCCCAGTGTCCACATGCCAGGAGACTTCTGGGTCTTTCACTTCCAAGGCCAGCAAGAGCTGCTCCTACGACCGAAGCAATGGCCGGTCGTCCCAGCCTGCCGGTCTGCCAGCACGAAAGCACCGAGTAGTAGTCCGGCCATGGAACTTCGGGAGATGCGGTGTTTTGTATATGTTGTTGCTGTTGCTGCTGCTTTTGCTTAAAGGTACATAGCATCTGGTCACCCACTGTTATTTTTGCTTTTGTTGGTAAAGAAAGGTCTTCCCTGGCTCTGATTTGTTGAGCCATAGCCATGTTGAACAGTAATATACATCCAATAGGTCATATTGGAGATCTTATGATGCATTTGCCAATAAATTGGCATCCTCTGGCAATCGATGTGGTTGCCACAAAAGCAGGAACCCAAATTAGTTTGCAACATACCATAATGGTAAATTAGTGTGCAACCAACCATAGTAGCTAATAATTGGTTTCTACATGTTATGTGTATATATGGTGGTTGATCAATATTCTTTCATCCTGGAATGGCCATTCATCGCGGAAAAAAAGATATCTTTCGCGGATCTTTCGCGGCCTCATCGCGAAGCATGGTCCTACAACCATGTCTAGCTAACATGAGCCGGAACATGTCATAGTATCACAAAATAGGGAGAGACATCTTGCAGCATGACCCCAGTAGATGGTTGAATGTTTCCACAGCTACACAGTACTCAGGGTCACTTGCAGCATCTGTGCGGCAATTGTGCCAAATAGAGTCAGGCACAACTCAACCCAATCCTCGTGCCAGCTACCAACACAGGGTGATGCAACTTGGGGAATGTTGGGGGGCCTCAAGCTGGGAACCTAGACTTTAGCGGCACATTCGCGAAACTTTCGCGGATCTTTCGCAAAATTTCACGGGTGCTTTCCCCGGAACCCGTAACATTTGCAAACATCTGCGCTGCCCGTCAGAGAAGCTGCAGGTCGTTGCCTCACTATCAGGGCTGTGCCTACCCAGATTACTAGTCTGTGACAGTGGGGACAGGAATCGGAGAATCCTTTACGGACTGCCAGGGCTGGGCACGGAAATGTTGAGGCTTCAGTTCGTTGGTCTGTGACATATGGCGACACTTCCGCCCACTGGCTCTGCCGGAGGATTGCCTTGCGTTTCTATTCTTTGTCAGTCCGGTAGAAAGGAAAACAATGAAAGCGATGACCTTCGATAAATCTTTCGCAGAAAAAAAAGATACTTTCGCGAACCTCATCGCGAATCTTTCGCGGATGGTTCTAACAAGATCTGAAAGGCTGTTTTATATAAAACTCCTTACACGGGGTTTTCGATCAACTCCCATATAGATATTAAATTAAAGTTGAGTATGCTCATGACTCATAGCTGCACAATGAAAACCATTGCAAAAACACACGACACACACACAAACAAAAAAGGCAAAACTCTCACTGTGGATCTTAATGTCTTACGTATTGCTGCACCACAGGTTCATTTGGCCAGTTGGGAAACATCCGCCTGTGGAGTTACGAGCCATGTTGGCAATGTTTGCTTGAAAATTTAGGCAACTCAGCTTCTTTCCGACGAATTATAGCCGTCTTTGACCGTGTCTTGTACCATCAGAATGGCACTTGGGAAGGAATCAAGCCAACAGCCTGCCAAGCTTTGCTTGCTGACGGATCTTCTAAAGAAGGCAAGTTCTTTCATCCCAACACCTGGCCCCCCATCGCCCCTCTTCTGACATCCCTGTCCTCTTCAGTGAGTGCAGCATTGCTGCAAGCAACCACCTGGCCTGGACGCACATGTTCGCTCGCCTCCGCCACGGTTTGCTCAATGTCCTGCGGGTAGAAGTTCTGCCCAGCGATGATGATCATATTCTTGATGCGTCCACACACGAACAACCTGCCGATGTCTTTTTGGTCAAAGTCCTGAAAGACCCTGACTTCAATACACTTGAATAAGCACGTCGAGTGAACATTTAAAAAGACGCATCGTTTTATCCTTTGATTTCGGTTTTCTGGATTTAGAGTAACAAATAATTAATTTCTTCTGTCCCCTAAGACTCGATGAGTCTTTGCTCCAAGATTTGGTTGTTCTAGCTCACTTGGGTGGGTGAGCGCCAAAAGAATGGGTGGGGCCTTTTGGACATCCAGTTTGACAGGGTGCGTTTGGTCTTCATGTACGATGTGGGTTGTGAGTATTTGTCTGACGGACGTATGACAGCCTTCTTCCCGCTGTTCTGTTGCTTCTTCGTACCAAATATGCCACATTCGATTCGATTCCTACAATGCCAAACGAACGATGTTTCTCTTCTTTGGTGGGGCCAAAACAACGTGATGATACTTGAAGTATAAACCATCAGCGCACTGAAAAAAGAACTCCACACAAAGAAGGACCTCCAATCAATAGAAGACAACACAACAAAAGTCATAAGCAAATGACGCTAATTATATGGTTTAAGATGTTTTAAGCTACAAAACCGTGGCCTACCTAGAACTTCATCCTCTAGCCGTTGGCCAAATCAACGACACACATACCCGTTTGTGGTTCACCGGTCCCACCTGCCCTCCCGCATGAAGCCGCGGTCGCCGGTCCGCAGGAAGCTCCGGGACGAGGAAAGCTCCACGTGTCCGTCCGAGGCGAGGCGAGCGTGGAAGGTCTCTCGCGTGGACTGAGGGTCCTTCCAATAGCCCAGGGCTTTACCTTGGGCGAATGAAGCAGTGTTTTCCAAGAGGGTCTTCAGGTGAAGGTGAAGGTCTTGAAAGCAGAATGAGTTGTCTTTGTTCTTTGGAATCGGCTCTTTTTTCCCGACAGAAAGCGAGGCCTGTTGGTCTAGTATGTGTTTGTTTTTTCGAAAACTCACTTATGCACTACAGTCAATAAACATCATGTGTGGGGTATAGTGAATGGGGTCATAGTAGCCATGGTCATCGAACAAAAACACACCATGACACTTTTCTGACAACCGTGAAGAAGTATGATATTAGGACACCTCCTCAGGAAGTACAACGGATTGCTGGCCATTTGTTTTCCATGACTGTTTCTCCCCTGTCCTCAAGATGAGGACTGGAGCACCCCCCTGCCTCCATTGAGTGAACTCACAGAACCTTAGAACTCCCAACGCCCTCCCACTTCCTTCGGCTCTCAGATACTGGGCGAATCCAACCAAATCTCTCCTTCCTCTCCTGCCACCGGCATGCCAAAACGACCCACCGGCCGACGGTCCGACTGCATGTCTGGCAGTGTAATTGTTTTTGTGCACTCTGCGCAGCTCTTGGAGTGCCCCTCCATGTGCTCCCAGAGTTTATTTCTGCCGACTTAGTCTACTCGACATGGATTTGATATGATTTGATGCTCCAAATGGAGCCTGAACTGGGTTCCTGCCATCGCTTGAGGGATGCATGGAGCAAACCCACTAATTAAACTCCACCAATCCAGTACTGGCTGTCAATCAAAGAGCCTAAGAGTTTCTATCAAATCTCAACGCTTAAGAAAGCCCATAGATCTGATCTGTAGAATCTGTATCATTCTCCACATCCTGAAGAAGATGAAGACCTACCACTCCATCTCCCCAAATCCTTCGGGCATCTCCATCTTGGTCTCTGGATCTACGATCTTCAGGCAAATGTCTTTCCATGGACTGCCACAATCCGCCACCTGCTCAACTCGAAGTGCAGCTGAAGGAGCAATCTGGGCCATGATTCACTCTGTCCCCAGTCACATTAAGAAATGGAAGGCAGGTAGAGTGACACCCTGTCCAAGAAGGAGCCAGAAAAGAACAAAAGCTAAAGTTGGAAATCCCAAAGATTGAAGGGCCTTATACTAGCATGCGCGTTTAGATAGTGAAATTAACTCTGTCCAAATCCTTGGCCAAGGCACCGTGCCCAACATGCCCTCAGGGCCTTCCACACCCCCAGAGGTCACTTTGACGACATGTTCAGCCAAGCCTCAACGCGCGACCGATCCATGTGCATCAATCGTCTCAAATACACAGCAATTCCACTCGCAGCCGTTTGCAAATGTTCCAGTTTAGGATCCAACATGGTCTGTTCGCACGCGTGTGGTTCAATTTCAGTTTGATGCAACATGATCCAAGAACATGTCTGGTTCAATCCCAGACCTAGAAAAAAATAACTGGAAGGTCTGTCCCTACCTGAGGAGGGTCTGTGGTTCCCTTGAACACCGTTTGTTTCTTCTCCCCCAGAAGTTCCATGTGGGACCCGGTCGTGAAACGGAAGGCTATGGAAGGCCCGGGTGGATAAGGGAGTGGGTGGGGAACAAGCGAGTGGAAACCACGACATGGAGAAAACCAGGTTGTAGAGGATGTTCAATGGATATGCCCATCATATTCCCCCACAGCACTCCAACCACGTATATGGCCAACAGCAGTTGCCTCAGGTGGCCTGTTCACCGCAAGACAAGGTGTAAGGCTAAGGACAATCGGTGTCACCTCGATCTGGGTAGGTGCCCAGGAGGGGTCTGTCCCTAATCTGAGGATGCTCTTAGCGGGATTCGGTCATAAAAAACGATGAACACCAAAAGATCGAAGGCTGGCCGCCCTTGACTGGACCGGAACCGAGAGTAGCATATATGACTCCTCTCTTGGGTGTTAGTTGTGGACTTTGTTGTTCTGGAATGCTTGGGTACTTCACTTGGTAGACATTGAAACCTTGCACAGGCACTGGATTCATTGGCCTGACGGAATCCTGAAAGAAAGACTCCTCGCTCAGTCCCAAAAATGGACTTTACGAACAACATAATAAAGATCCTATTTGCTGAGAATATATGAATTATATAACAATATAATATATACACATTTTTTAAAGATCCTATCATATATATTATATATTGACATATAATTTCAAGTCCCCCCACCGGACAAAAAGGCATGACCTAACAGCAACCAAGAGATCGAAATTTCAACACAAAGCAACCAATACTCAATACTCATAGCTTCTAACCAATACTTATAGAACATGTCCTTACATTCCAAAACAAAGAAACTTAATAGAACAAACTGACACTTACAGCAGTATATAGTTTATGACATCTTCTTCATCTTGAGATATCCAAACGTTCGAGCCAAGCCACCATAGCCTACCCCATACGCCCCCGCCGGCAAGCCGTAGCGCTTCCAGGTCGTCAGCATGGCCTCGCGCATGCGGACGTTGACGGGCTCAGCTGCATCCATGGCCATCCTAGGCACAAAAGTGTGCAGTTCAGGGAACCTATCGAATCACATCATGGACAAAGTTAACATAATTAACATAACTGACTAGTTCAAAGCAAATTTAATTGGATTGTTTTCAAGGTTGTGGCATAGAACGTGCATGTTTGAAAGGGCCACCATTGTTCTACATGGCAAAGTTCGCAAAGTTGGAAGAAGCTGAACGTCTCCACGAGAGATTCCTGATGACGACCACGATCACATACAGGACAAGAGTGGCATCCCCATTCGGAACATCAAGAGACCGAAGAGTGGCTGAAATACGATCGCTTCAACCCCCTGCTTCAACGGTCCTGGTGTCTCGTTCAAGCTAGTCTTAGTGACACCATGTGAAACCCAATACTCAAGGTTCTAGATTGAATCTTAGTAGGAGAGCCCTTCACCAATGGGTTGTGAGTTTTTTTCCTTCAATGGGATCGAACTGGGAGGTCTCCCTAGTTCAATACACACTCACTACAGACCGTTCTGTTAGACATGGTTTCACCAAAACTTGAGGCCAATGTATCAATGGTCAACCAGGGTATCCTGGTTCTGAGGCACTTCGCCAGATCATTCTTCTCTCCAAGGAACACCATGCTGGACAGGTCAAGATCCAATGCTCCCTTTGTCGCCTCTGCCGCCTCTATGCGTCGAGCCGTGAGCTGATAGGCAAAGTGGGGCGCGGCGGTGACCGTACCACGGTAGCGCGACATCAGCTGAGGCCACAGGAGTGGATCTTTGATGAAGTCCAAAGGGGAAAAACCCACCAATGTGACGTTCCAAACCTAAGGGACAAGAGTGATGTTTGTTCTTTGCATGCATGGTTTCCCTTCGCCACATCATTGAACTGTATTTTGCATCTGAAGAAAGACTCCACAAACGTGTCAAGCCCAAGCACATCCAAGCTTTCCACTCTTCACAGACTTGTGTGTTTTGCCTTCTGTTCATTTCTGAAATCACATCCTTCACGTCTCTCACCCAGCTGAAAGCTGAGGTAGGGGCTAGAGCGGTGAGATATGTCGCAACCAGGCCCATGTCATGGTAATGCGGCAACCAGGTGATTCCAATGGACTCCGGGCCAAACTGGGGCCGTGCCCGTTCGCGTCCCAAGTGACTGGGACTTCCAATGTGAGCACAGGGGATGAGGCAGTTGGCCATGAGGTTCCTAAGATTTTCTGGAAAAACACACACATTCACTGCGGGTTCTTGCACTCTTCACGACCGTTCACGTTTTAGGAACCGAGGGCATTGATCTGGTGAAACAAGTCCATGCACACACACGAGACCGCATCGCCAGGAAGGAACACGTTTGGAAAAAGAGGAATCCAAATTCAGCCACATCCAAGAGGTTACCAAACTCTGCAAAACTTAAGCACCACTATTTTTTTGATCTTTTGGGGTAGTAGCAGCTATAGCAGAACAACAGTGCATCCTGTCTTGCTGCAATTCCAGCATGTTCATCACATCGAGCTGGGAACAACAAAAACAAAACATTCTCCACATTGCATCTTCAAGTTAAGAGAGCCCCTGAGAATGTTGACATACTATTTTCAATGATGCTTTCAGATGTCACGATGTCCCAATGGTCACCATCAACCCGGCGGACGATGACCTTGCGGACTTCACACTAGAGACCGGGTTTGAAGGAAGAGCTATCTGGAAGCAACAGATTGCCTTGGATGCCTTAGGTACGGTACTCCTACTATAGTCTCACCACTCAATAAAAATAGTATGTCAAACCCAAAAAAAACATCGAAAATCCAGCAGGTTCCCAGAATTTTCCATGCTTTTCTTATGTCGACATTCTAGTTCGATGGCGGCATCGTCCACCCTCAGCCACCCCTTGCTTCTTCCCGACTGACTGGAGCCAAGCTTCGCGTGTGAAACCATGACACCCTTCGCGTCTCCAGTCGATCCTGAGGTGTACTGCAAAAAGGCCAGTTCCTCAAGGCAAAGCCGCTGGCACCACGGCTGGAACTGCGGGATTTCCGCTGTTTCTCTCACTTACCTGAGAAGCTGCAAAACGAAAGCCTGCGTTTTTACTTTCGAGTGTGCTTTCTCAGGCCACCCCCCCGGAATCCCCCTTCTTACTCAGCTGGCGCAGGGATAGATAATTGCCCAGGGAAGCTACAATTCAGTTGCCAGGTATAGTACTTCAAGTTCCCTTTCCGTCAACCGCTCGATAACCTTTACACACGCACAGCAATCCACAGCTTTGAAGTCTCATTCTTGCATTGAACTTATATAGGTGTGTAAGAGGTATAGCAACATAGCATTTATACGGACCCAGGGTAGCTACAATTCTGTTGCCAGGTATCCCACTTCAATTTCCGTACCCTGGGTCCGCGCGCGCGCGCTGACCCAGGGCAGCTACAAGGCAGTTGGCAGGTATACCCAGGGTAGCTACAATTCAGTTGCCAAGTATAGCACTGCAACCAACCGAAGACAATTGCATTTCTTAAAATCACAAAAAAGCACCTCCAAAACCTTGCTTCCGTGCACCCCTACACACCACCTACTTTCGAGTGTGCTTTCTCAGGCCACCCCCCCGAACCCCCCTTCTTACTCAGCTGGCGCCTTCCCAGGTATAGATACCCAGGGTAGCTACAATTTAGTTGCCTGGTAAAGTACTTCCAGTTCCCTTTCCGTCAGCCGCTCGATAACCTTTACACATGCACAGCAAACCACAGCTTTGAAGTCTCATTCGTGCTTTGAACTAATATAGGTGTGTAAGAGGTATAGCAACATAGCATTTATACCGACCCAGGGTAGCTACAATTCTGTTCCCAGGTATCCCGCTTCAATTTCACTACCCTGGGTCCGCGCGCGCGCGCGCGCGCCTTGCTGGCTCCCGGCTGCCCGTGACTTAGGCGGGCAACAGAATACCGAAGTGCGCGGACCCAGGGTACGGAAATTGAAGTGGGATACCTGGCAACAGAATTGTAGCTACCCTGGGTCTGTATAAATGCTATGTTGCTATACCTCTTACATACCTATATAAGTTCAATGCAAGAATGAGACTTCAAAGCTGCGGATTGCTGTGCGTGTGTAAAAGCTATCGAGCGGTTGATGGAAAGGGAACTTGAAGTACTATACCTGGTAACTGCTCTATAGCTACCTGGGTATCGATACCTGGCAAGGTGCCAACTACACCTTACCATTCAGATGATGCAAATGATGCAAATTGCATTTCTTGCATCACCACCCCTCAAAAATCACCTCCAACACAACCTCAAAAAACCTTCCATCCGTCCACCCTCCTACCCCAGCATGTGCCGAGTTTACGTGTACCTTTTGCGGGCCACCCCTTCCAGACCCCCTAACTACTCACTTCGTTCGCCAAGCACAACTCAGCTGGCGCCTTCTACGAAGAGCTGGCTTTCGTAACTTGCAAGAGGGGTTGACCTGAAATGGGCTTCGGATTGGGATTTCATGGGATTTCATGATGATAGTCTGAATATATGAGGCCCCTGCATGCCCCTGCTGGATATCAGTGTGTGCTCCAAGTGTTTTTGAGCGGGATATGGGAGGATTGCATTCTCCAACGAGAACCCCTATGGCCCATGGCATTCAAAAAACAACGCTCCCAAAGATGGTTTCTTCTTGGAGGTCCTCCGCAGAGATCTTCTTCGGAAGCTCGGCGCTGATCGTCGGGCCCTTCAAATTGCTTGTGACTTTCCAGATGATGGACGGCCATTCAGCGTTGAAGAACACGGCCGTGGACCACCAATATCTGGAACTGGTCAAAGCAACCTCACAGAGAAGAGTTTCGGGTGAAGAGTGGGGTGAAGGCAATTTCTGAGGGTGTGGCTGATTTGGATGCAGGAGCACGTTGGCCTTTTGTCTTGCCAGATGGCCATGGACTAGGATATGTATACATGTCCAGATTGCAACTGATGCATGCCAAGGTACTGAACAAATGCAAAGTGAACATGCATTGGCTACATAATCTACTAGCTCAATAGAAAAACCACAACATCTTTAGTTAATGGTATCACAAGAACCCTCAAGATGGGAAACAAAGGAACTAGGAGATCATAGGAGATCTGCCAGATCTCAGCCTTTGTCAACCGCGTGATTCGTCCTTGGAGATCAAACTACTGTATTTAGAGGGAATACGGCCAAGTACTGGGAAGGGAAGAGTAGTAAGGCCAAGTAATAGTGATGGGTAATACCGGGAAATAGTGATAGGCAGTGATAGGTTAGTTTGTATGCGGCAGGTCTCCACCTTTAACTATCCAGCGCAACACAGTTACATGGGCCAAACAAGATCAACGGGACCACCGATTTGCAACCTAACCGGTTGTCCATGTTTGTCTCACTGATCTACACACTTTGAATACATTCAACAATAGCTTCAAATTCTCATCCGAGACAGATCACAAATCCATACAAATCCAATTCGTGGGGAATTCTCTCACCCATCGAATTGCCATGCGCTGCAGCAGCTGCAAAACAATTTCCATGTAACTGTAGTTCCTCATAGTTCCTCCCAAGATCTGCCAACCTTCCAACCCCTCCAAAGCACAGAACGTCCCTGCCTGAGCCCCACAATCCGCTTGCACCGCTGTGAACTTCCGCAGCGAGCTGCCGGAGCTGGGCATCGGTGGATAGACCACCACGGCGACGCGGCCGGACGCCAGGCAGCCGAGGAAGGCGTCGAAGAAGTCCAAGCCAGGTTCGTAGACGAGTAGGATGCGGTCGCCAAAACCGCTCACGTCGAATAACCTCGAAGTTCGAAGTGATTTGCGGCGTCATCATTCAAGCAGGGCGAGATAGGTGGAGGCAAGCAGGGGTCCAAGAACACTTCTTCGTTTTGGTTCTATGCTTGTTGGGTCAACCCCGCGGGACTTCTGCAACAAACGACAGAACCCGGCTTCGTTTGCACCATGCTGAGAAAACACCGCCGTATCTTATGGTGGTTATCAAAGACGACTTGACCCAATTCACGGCATCCATGGCAAATTGATTGCTCCCCTATGTTTAGATTGTTTATAGGGTCTATGTCATCAGTTTGTGGGGGGGACACCATGTCTGCGAACGACGGGTCTTCTGCTTTCGGGCCACAACTGCGCCACAGCCCACGATAGCCTCTGCAGCTCTGCAAAGGACCGTGTCTCTGCGACGTTCCCAGCGGCATCGCAGAAAGTGAAGGCCCTCTTCTCTGGCGTCTTCGAAGCCCAGTAGTTCACCTCAGAAGCCGAGTGGGTACCCTCAGCGCTCGCCCAGGTGCCACGCGGAAAAAAGACGAAACATCCGCCCAGGTCCGCCCGGTCCGAAGGCTTTTTGGAGCTGAGACTGAGAGCTGACCGTTGCGGCTCGGTTCCCGCGGCTCGTTGTTCTTGTTGCTTCGGTTCCCCACGACCCTTGGGACCAGCGGAGTCGCATACGGGAGGTCCAGTGGACTCAGCGGTGAGTGGTAGTGGTCACACGAGACGTGTGTCTCACGGTGGTAATACCGCAATACCAGCTAATGTAGACTCTTGATTAAAGACCCCCTCCGTTTGAATTGAAACACCTCTTTATATGGGGTGTGTGTTAATCGAGAGTCTACATTAGTAAATACTGCGCGATATCAATGACACAGTACGACACTTATATATTATTTTTGGGGAATACCGCTAGCAACAAACAGCCGGTCCAGAAGAACATAGGCTGCAGGTGGCTCCGGATCAAACTCTCCACTTCAACGGTGTCAACGCACTCTCCACTTGAGACCTTCAGAGACTGTGTATGTCATCACGCACTGCAACTATATGTGCAACTATCGTTTACGCTTTGCACGCTTGGGAGGGGCGTCGTCCAACGCAATTTGCATGCAATTTCCAACCCAAAGCAACGGCTTCCATGTCATTGAATCTGAAGTGTTCTGTCCCAGGCGCAGAATCATTCACGGTTTGGCAATCAGAGAGCTGCAGCGTTGACTGGTCCTCTCTGACCTCTCCTTCTTTCTTCTCCATCAAGTAAGCTTCGGCCCCTCCAGCCGCCTGCGTCTGCCTTTTGGAGGCAAAGTCACACCAAAAAAGGACCATCAGTAGCAGCAGGGTCGCAAGTAAACAAAGCCACATGCCCCAGCGGTGTGTGGGCATCTGGAGCTGTTGCTGCTGAAGAGAAACAGCTCCCCTCTGCAATAAGAGCAAGTTGGAGTCAGCCTGACAGTCCTGTTCAAGACCGCCCCCACACCCTTCAGTTGCCAACAAAAGCAGCTCAAGTAGAACGTAGAGCCATGGCAGAACTGGCGACATGGCACTAAAAAATAATGGGCAATGGATGCGTTTAAGAACGGATCATTCATGAGCGAGGGATGGGATTCGGAATTCTCCCCCAAAGCTTGGCTTAGCGACACTTTTGGAGGGATCTCTTTAGCTTTCAAGGGAGCCTTCTCACAGATTGATGTCGAGCATATTTGAAGGAATTCGGGGCATGTAGCAGCGTAGCATGTCGCTATGCCATGGACTCTGCACCCTTGGATGTCGCCCCGCGAAAGTGAAGCTGGACAAAGCAGAAATGAGGGCATCTCAGGCACTGGTAGGACGACGTTATTGGTGCCGCTGACACGGCCTCCTAGCTTTACTAATAGATATAGTGTGTATATATATATACCATCACCCTCCAACAGGTCTCCTTTGGAGGGTTGTAAGGCCCTAAGAGGTCTGTTTTTTTGTTTTGAGCAATACAAACATGAACCCATGGGCGCCATCCAATCTTTCTTAGGCCAAGTGGGCTTCCACAGACGCCTGTTCAGGTTTGGAGGATCCACTGAACCAGTGTGTCCACTTTGGAGCCTGATGGAACACAAAAGGATTGTAGCAAAAGATCTACACCTGCAAACTCAATGGCACACAGGTAACCTGGTGTTTCTTCGAATTCATCTCCGCCTCCCAAGCAGCTGTTACAAAATATACAAATGCATAGCTGCATAGCTGCATAAATATAGCTACAGTGTCATCGCCATGTTCTGGGTGTAACTCTGTGCTGTTGATCTAACGACACAGTTCCAAAGGGGTCTCACCATGTGCAAGGAGGTGCGGGGGTAGCGCTTGGCATGTATGAAGGCTCAAGACATACGTTTGGATACTTTGAGGCTGAAGACAGGACAGGATGGCAAGAACGAACAGCAGGACACAACAATATATCAAATAAATTTAACAACCAGAAGTCACAAAGGAGTGCTTAATGGAGGTTCGGGGTGCCCATTATCCACTCACTTAGGGTTTGTCAACATTGTTGGGTTTTCAGCACGGTGGGACACGTCGCCTTTCCAGAGCCATACGGTACGAAGATGACATCATTCAAAGGAGATGCACGTGAGCATTGGGACACGTCCTCAGGTTTTCTGATGAAGGTGCTTCATCCAGCAACTAAGGGCATCAGTATTTAATAACTGCCGGGCATCGCACTGATGGATGTTCAGAAGCTCATGAGGATTGGACTACATCTATCCCTCCACTCCCTTACCCAGCCCGGGAGACCCGGGTGAACCCCGAGGTCTCCGACCCCGGTGCTCACCCTCTCGCAAATGATCTGCCTGGGATGAAAAGCGGAGGGACAGGGGTTGTTAGGGCGGATTCGGAGATCTCCCTCCTGCTCTTGTGGCGCCTGGTGTATTCTTGACTTTATATAGTCTATAGCTCTTGTATGATAAATGGAGAGTGAACAGAGTAGAGACATGTAGAGACATCCTCAAGTAATAACATGATTGGCAGCAAACAGCAAAGGAAACTCTGGCCCAAACAAATGCTGGTCTCACCTACCCGGAAGACGTGGAGGCCACCGATCCATCTGTGTGGCATTCTCTGGAGGCCAATTCTGTGTGGCCAATTTCCAGGGTTGAACCAATTCCACTTGGTTCGGTTGCCCAAGTCATAGTTCAAAAGATGCGCGCGGGAGCACGTCAATGATTTGGGCAAACCTGAAATATTCAAATCAAAGAAAAGTAGGCTGAGAAGGAAATCTGATCATGTGCAATTGTCCAATGGTTTCCAAGACCCAATGGAGATCTGTGAATGTTCTATGGTTTCAAAGGCCCTAGACCAGCCTTACGTGAAAATCAAGCAACATTACCAGGATCAAACGATCCATGAAGGGTTGAACATATACAACAAGAATTGCCCAATGTCTTTTCCTGTTCCCCGCTTCCCACCGTCCGTGTTCCTAACACCTTAACTTTCACCCACCATGTGTGGAAAATCCTCAAAGTAGGAAAAAACAATGCGGTCAAGGGGGGTTTGCTCACCACGATCGTCCCTGAAAATCCTACAATGTAGCCAACCTCTCACAACGCAGCGGAAATTCACATCAAATTTATAGCCACCTCATTTGTCTTGACCCGTCTTCCTTCTCGAAACTGGTTGTCCAAAACTGACATGAACTGATCTTTTTATACTAGCTAACTAATGTTGGTTCTGTCCTGGTCGGTCCGTGTCAAAGTCCCTCAGAGATTCCAACACATCTCCTGTTTGAATTCACCACATGCGGCTGGTTCAGCCGACGGGCCTCCTGCCATGGCAGCATCGCGCCCTGTGGCAAACCCAATTTCCTGCAGTCGAGTCGGTGGGCATCGACACCTGTGGGAGCCTGGTGCCAGTGGAAAGCACGCCTGAGAAACACGTGTGCTAGGGAATTGTGTGGAGAAAATCCATTACGTTGTTTGAAACGGGAGATGCGATCCGGTCGGATTCGATGCAATCTGAAACATTGTTCAGCACAATCAAACAATGTCCAAATTTGCTTGACTGGACATCTGGCCGGTGTGACCTTCAAAACTCTGTTGGTGGTTCCCAAGAATGAATATATATATATATATATGATTTCACATGTTAGATAATAACACATATGCATGAACATCTGAACACATATGTATAATATATATATACTGTATACTATTGTAATATATAACATATATGTACCTAGACCTGAGGTAAAACGCGTGTTGTTTCAATTTGTCAGACGGTATGAAGTGATAAATCCAAACTTGGTCAAGTTGATACAACAAATCCACAACCCACTTCAAAACCTGCTTGTGCAAGAATCCACAACTCAAAATCATGCTTAGCAAACTGTTTACAAGATGTCCATGGTAAATTCACCAAACCCTTCTGCATCAGTGAGGCACTGGCTTCACCAACAAGGAAACTGTGCCACGGCTGCCGTTCATTTTCGAGTGGTTCCGACACCGCAAAGGAACAACCAATGTAGCAAACCTGAGACTTTAGACCGGTGAACACATCAGCACCTGGCCAAGGCAAACATGTGAACTGCCATCGAAATTGCCATCCCAAAAAAACAAGGGAGCTGGGCTGAGCTGGGTGTCATATGGTGTCACATTGAGCCGATTCCGTGGTGTTTCGTTGAATTGTTGCGTTGTGTTTTGTGGTTTTCACTATTGCGTTTGAGGCGTTGTGTTGTTTGTGCAATTGAGGTTCTTACGGTTTCAAGATGTTTCAAGACAAACAAACACCATTATAAAACGGTTCCAAATCTAGAACATAAAGCTTGAAGCTTGATTCGGAACAAAATCATAACCAAAAGCAGAAAACCAATGTTTTTGATCTGCTTCAGGAATTCCTTCCGGTGGGAAGACGAGGGTTTATTAGCACCACGCAGTGCAAGCTGGAAATGACTTCAACATGTAAATATATACATTACATTTCATTTTGTGCCACCTTCCAAGCGCTTCCAAGCACCAATCATCTAAACGTTGGGCGCTCATGTTTCGATCGTGGTGCAACACATCGCCAGCGGCCGCGGTCGCCCAACTCGGGTCCTTCGTTCCTCCTGGAGGGAGGGAAACAAAGGTGGAGGGACCGCAGGTGACCAAAAGTACCGGTTTCCCCAGAACGCAACACCCGTGCCCTCTCTCTCATTGGATTTCAGTGGATGTAGGCCATGCACACAGGGTCACCCGGGGTCCAAATGAATGAGTCATCCACGGGTCCACGCGGATCATCACGGGTCCACGCGGACAGGTCCGCTCGTCCGACCCGGGCTCGTCCCGGACTCCACTCCCAGCCGCCACGGCGAGTTCCTCTAGTTCCTTCTCGCGCCTCGGATCCATGTGCTTCGTCGGCGACGGTGACCGTTCCGCTGGAGGGATCCGTCTGAAACAGGAAGACGATCACATGCGTTGGAGTGTGTTGGAGTCCATGAGTAGATGTTCGCGTTTCTCTCTTTGAGGCTCTGTTGAATATCACATGAAGTTCCTCACCAGTCATCATGACCGGACCTGAGCCTTTTGTCGAACATTGCTTGAATTGTTCCTTGTCTTGTTGAAGCGATCTTGTCGAAGCACCACCGGGCAGTGACTGCAAACCATGGTGACTGCAGTCTGATTCATGGGACTGATGGTAAGTAGCAGTAACACATCCAGAGCACGTCACCACTAATTCCGGTGTCAAAACGTCATGGCTTCGTCTGGACGGATGCATTGAAGCCACTGGCAATCAACGTGAATTGTCACTCAAAAACTCATCACCCCTACATATTCTGTAAAAGAAACTCCCCTAATTTCGGTGAATTTGCTTGGACAAATGTCAGTGATGATAGCGCAGAGCGGTCACCGAACAGTCACCGCAGAGCGCCGGTCTAATGCACTGTGCAGGTCGAGGGGGCTTGAGTTGTCCCTGCAAAGAGAATGGCCTGCCGGAGACATACCGTGACCATACCCAAACAATCCTTTAAAAACAACGGACAGGACCTTCAAAGAAACCATTGAGATCCCAGAATGAAGCCACTACAAGCATCTAAAAGCCACTTATGTCCCTAAAAAGGGCACAAACAAAGACTCCAAAGAGAGCTGCTAGGCTCCTCTATCTTCCCAACGATGGCATCCACTAGGCCCCTTGGCTTGTCCACTTGACGTCGATTGGGGAGCTTCTCGCCTCCGCAAGCATGGGTGGATCGAAGAAGGTGGATCGTTGGGTGGTTTGAATCGTTAGCTCGTTGAAGGATTCACCTTGCATATTATAGTGGTTACTATATTAGTCACAATATATAGTGGTTCACAATATATCGAATATATAGGTTTTAGAGTGGTTGAAGATTTGTGAGTTACGATATAATATATATAGATAGACCCCAGGGTTCAAAAGACGATTTTAAAAATAGTTCTTCCAGAAGCAACGGTTTGTCGAAATAGTCGCAAAGCTCCGACACCCGATCAACACAACCTCTCCACATCCCAAAACAACAGCAGCTGCATACAGATGCGACCGCAGAGCCCTTTTCACTACCCACGGCCCCTAGA